TCCAGTAATCACAGTACTGGGTATTTACCCCAAATATTCACTAATTCAAAGGGTTACATGCACCCTTATCTACAATAACCAAATTATGGAAGCAGCCCAAGCATCCATCGACAGATGAATGGATAAAGATGTGGTGTGTATATATATACAATGGGATATTACTCAGCATCAAAAAGAATGAAATCTTGCCATTTGCCATGACACGGATGGAACTAGAGGGTATAATGCTAAGAGAAATAAGTCAGAGAAAGACAAATACCATATGATTTCACTCACGTGGAATTTAAGAAAGAAACAAAAAAAAGAGCAAAGGGGTAAAAAAGAGACTGACAAGGAAACAGACTCTTAACTCTAGAGAACACACTGATGGTGACCAGAAGGGAGGTGGGTGGGGGATGGGGGAAACAGGTGATGGGGATTAAGGAGGGCACTTACGCCATGATGAGCACCCGGTGTTGCATGAAATTGCTGAATCACTATATTGGACACTTGAAACTAATATAACACTGTGGGTTAACTACACTGGAATTTAAATTTAAAATTTTTAAAGTCAGAAGAATAAAAGGAAGAAAAGAGGGACAAATAAAGCAAATGTGGCAAAATTTCACTAATTGTTGAATCTGGGCAATGGGTATATGGGAATTTATTGTACTATTCTAATTTTGTGTATATTTCAAATTGTCATTTTTTTATAAGTGAACATTGTTTTATCAGTTTAATTATTTCCTAGAGAACAAGTTTAAAATGGATTTGACTGGTTTTATGATCTTTGAGATAAAACTTCAAAGCAATCATAGAAGGTATAGACTTGGGGTCTTGATTCTCCAACCTCTTTTCCTAAATTTCATCACCCTACGATTGCCCTTCCTTTCCACCTCCTCCTTCATTTCCTTTCACAGCCAAATATGAAAAAGCATCATGTGTTGGGAAAGAAAAGGCAAAAAGTGATATGAAGAGAAAAATAGGACTTTGATGAGATGTAAAAGTTAAATTATCAGCAGCCGCTGACTCCATGTCCCAAAACTGCATACGGAGCCATCAACTAGGAATTAGGGCAAAGGCTCTTCCTCAGCAACTTCAAAGTCCATATTTCTCTTTCTGTCTTTGTTAAAAAATATTAAAATGTGGGGCGCCTGGGTGGCTCAGTCGGTTGGGCGTCTGCCTTCGGCTCAGGTCATGATCCCGGGGTCCTGGGATCGAGCCCCGCATCGGGCTCCCTGCTCCGCGGGGAGCCTGCTT